ACTCTATTCACTAGAAGCAAGTCAGTAAATTTAGTCTACACTGAAGGGGAAGGAACTTACAAGGGCATGAATACCAGGAGATGGGACGACTGGAAGCCATCTAAGAGGCTGTGTACTACAAGCTGCCTTTTGGGCTCCTAATGATTCACATGTTCAATACACTTACTCCTAAGTTCCCCCCAAATCTCATCTTACTACAGCATAGGCTCAAAGTCAAGCATTTCTGTGTGGCTTGGATTCCTCACAGAATAGTGATTCATTTTGGAGAGGAATCATCTCAAGAAGGAGCAGCACCAGCTGGGGCTGCAGCAAGGATGGCAGCAAGGATGGACCTACTGTGGGCTTGGCCACAGCAGCTGGACCCACATTTGATGGGCGGGCAGCAGGTGGTTCTGCTGCATGCAGCTGGTCAGCAAATGGAGTAGCACAAGTAGGTCATGGTGTCAGGTATGAAGGGTGGCTTTCTATGTACGGACACATTTCCCCAAATCTGAGAATACATTTCTTCTTGGTGTTTTTAATATATTGGTTTTGCAAAAATTCATATCATTGAGAAGAGTATATATTATATTCCCTATGACTAGGAAGGATGGTTTGGCAGGAAGTTGTTGACTAAAAGTGATACATTTTACTAAAAGAATTAGTCTGGTTAATTTGATTCCACCTTTGTGATGATGAGATTTGGGAAAGTATCCCAGTAGTGAGTGACTGGGATGGGGGAAGGTACAAGTTCACAGAAACTCCAGTAATGAGTTTTCACGTATTTTTGCCTAAGTCAGTATCCACAGCTCCCATGATTGGTCTTGTTCCTTGACTCCAGAAGGCCACACAGGCTACCTCTAATCCATCTTCTGCAGACAGATCTTCCCCTATTTGGAGACAGAGTCATTCTCTTCCAACAGAGGTCTTCTTTTCTCTGAAATAATTATCACCAGATCCCTCCATTCTTCATTACGTGGTTTGAATTCCAGTTCTATCCCCTGGATAGTCACTCTACTCAGAGCACTTGCTAGTTATTCAATATTCCTTTAGAAGGGGCATGATCAGCACCTACCTCAATATCTAGCTATTTTTTAACCAGTCCTCCTCCTTTCAGTATAGTCCATATTGTCCGAGTCTTGTCTGAATGATGATATAATTAAGGACTGTTCTTTAAGTTAGGGATCTCAGTACCCATCTCTCTCCAGGAAACTTGCTGGGATTTGAATGACTAAGTCCCTATTTAGTGAGGTGGCATTTGTCCTCCTGTAGGGACTACCTCTGTTACTGCTTGAATGGTTTTCTGGTCCCTCTGTTGATAGCTCTGTTCCTGCCTTTGTGTGCCTATTGCTAAATTCAGATTCCTACTCCATCCATAATGGTGTTCTGACTGTCACTGCCTGGAAGAGGGAGCTCTCCAGGTTCAGGTTTAACGTCAACTACAGATACATGGCTCTTTAGTTTGAATCCGAACTAAGTATAGTGTCTCCTCCCAGCAACCTCCAGATCCTCTGAGTATCTGCAGAAAAGACTGTCCTGTGGATCTGCCCCAAGCTGTCTGCCTAACTGCCCCTCTAATACATCCCTATCCAGGGTCTCAGCTTGAATGTGGGGCCAAGTGCTTATTATTACTGGATGCTGACACTGGAAATAAAACATATCTTGGCAAATTGCCATTGAATTCAATCCATATTTCCATAATCTTTTCATAAAATATTAATATTGTGAGAGTCCTTTTCAATCATCCTGCTGAAATCCAGATTCATTTTCTACTGAATTTCATTTATCAATGAATCTAACATAAATAAAAAATTAAGCTATTTGACATGATTCGGTCTAAGGGGTCCCATGTTTATCTTTTCCTGTGTATTCACAAAGATTCTTTGAACAATCTATTCTAGAATCTTTTTTGAGACAAGATCAAGCTGATAGGTGTATGGTTTGCAGCAACTTGAAATATTGGAATGGTATTTGCTTGTCTCAACGTGTTGAGTAGCTCTCATTCTCTAAGATTCCTCAAATATCAATGTGTGGTTTACTTCCAGTCTTTGACTGCTCTGGGGCATAATGTGCACAAAACAGTGACATGGATTTATTTAGAGAATCTAAGCATTTGCAAAATTTATTTGTCCTTATAAATATTTGTTTTTCTTTTTTAAAATTGTTTTTCTAACTCAATTATTCCCTATTGTCTGAAGAGATAGACACCAAATAAGAGTATTCTACCATAATCTCCACATTGTTTGTTCTATATTCCACAGGGAGATCTCAGATATTATCTCAATCCCTGCTATTAGCATGAAGTAAGAAGGCCAAACTCCTTTTGTGAGCCTGGATTTTCTTTGCCAGATACTGACATGTTTATAGTTCATGAATCATGAGTTGGATGAGGGGTGGATACAAATGCATCATGCAAAAAAAAAAAAAAAATGCAACATCTTACTGAGAAGTTTACTTCATATTTAACTACTTTCCATAGTTAAGTACTTTTGGTAAAAACTACTCTTTTTATATAGATTAAAAGGAATTAAAATCTCAATTGTGTGTGCATTCTCTGTTGCAAGTTTTCCCACTTTAGTTCAGAAGGAAACATTTCAATGTTTCATTTCTCTTTTATTATAAAAGTAAGCCATGGTTGAGGGGGAAAACAATGTACGAATAAAAAATGGAAAGCCCCACTTCCCCACCACCCCATCCACATCCCCCTCCCTATGGGCAAACTACTGGGTACTGCCTATTATGACCTAATCTTGGGTTACTCTTTCCCTTTACTGTTGGTTGGTTATTTTCCCCAACAGAAAGATGGAAGAAAAATAAAAGGAGCATTGATTTCTATACTAAAGAACAGTATGAAATTACCAACACAAAGTAACAGGCCTTTATCCTCTTTGATAACATCCTTACATTGTTTGCAATCATTTTATTAAAAAACATATTTCCACTGTTTTTTCCCTGTGTGTGTGTGTGTATGTGTGTGTGTGTGTGTGTGTTTGCCAACGTCAGAGCGTCTGGAGCTTCCTTCATTCTTTTCATGGCATGGGCTCCTACCACCCCCATTTAATGCCTAATTTATGAATTTTTCTTTCTAAGGTTAAATCATTGAAATCGCAGATATGCAGTTATTTAAGCTTTACAAAAATGGAAATTTCATATGGGTCAAACTAATATTCTCCACTTGGCCTTCTGAATCAAATCCCAGTACACAGCCCCTTGTAACTCTCTCTGGCATCTTGATAGTATACTAGAAAGTATTTTTTTTAAATTTCAAAATATTATGGGGATGCAAATGTTTTTGGTGAAGTATCGATTTTGTTATGCTTGAGTCAGGGTTATAAGTGTGCTCATCACCCAGATAGTGTTCATTGTACCTGTTAGGTAGATTTTCGCCTATCCCCTTCTCTCCCCACACCCTCTCCCCTGCTTGAATTCCACTGAGTTTTAATTCCCTCTGTGCACATGTGTGCTCATCAGTTAGTTCCAATTTCATAGCAAGTACATGTGATGTTTGTTTTTCTATTTTCGAGATACTTCACTTAGGATAATGGTCTCCAGTTCCATCCAAATTGTTGCAAAAGGCCTTAATGCATCCTTCTTTGTGGCTCAGTAGTACTCTATATCACATTTTGTTAATCCACTCATGAATTGATGGACACTCGGGTTGATTCTACATCTTTGCAATTGCAAATTGTGCTGCAGTAAACATTCGAGTGCAGGTGTCTTTTTGATAAATTGATTTCCTTTTCTTTGGGGAAATACCCAGTAGTGGGATTGGTGGATCAAATGGTAGATCAACTTTTAGTTCTTTGAGGAATCTCTATACTGTTTTCCATAAGGGTTGTACTAATTTGCAGCTCCACCAACAGTGTACAGTGTTCCTTTCTCTCTACATTCATGCCAGCATCTACTGTTTTTGGACTTTTTTAAAAAAGCCATTCACCCGGGGTAAGGCAATATCTCATTACAGTTTTGATTTGCATTTCCCTGATGATTAGTGATGTTGAGCATTTTTTCATATGTTTATTGGCCATTTGTCTATCTTCTTTTGAAAAGCTTCACTTTTGCCCACTTTTTAATGGGGTCTTTGGTTTTTTCTTGCTGATTTGCTTGAGTTCTTTCTAGATTCGGATTATTAGCCTTTACTGGATGTGTAGTTTGTGAATATTTTCTCCCAATCTATAGGTTGTCTATTTGTACTGTTGATTATTTCCTTGGCTGTGCAAACGTTTTTTAATTTAATCAAGTCCCATTTCTTTATTTTTGTTGTTGCTGTGATTGCCATTAGGGTCTTCTTCATAAGTTCTTTGCCTAGGCCAATATCTATAATAGTTTTTCCAACCTCTTCTTCTAGAATTCTTATGGTTTCATGCCTTACATTTAAGTCTTTTATCCATCTTAAATCATTTTTTGTGAGTGGTAAGAGATATGGATCCTCTTTCATTTTTCTGCATGTGGCTATCCAATTTTTCCAGCACTATTTATTGAATAGGGCTTCCTTTCCCCAGTGTATCTTGTTGTGTGTTTTATCAAAAATCAGTTGGTTGTATGTGGATGGTTTTATATCTGGATTCTCTGTTCTGTTTCATTGGTCTATGTCTCTATTTTTGTGCCAATACCATACTGTGTTGGTACTATAGCCTTGTAGTATAGTTTGAAGTCTAGTAATGCCTTCAGATTTGTTCTTTTTGCTTAAGATTGCTTTGGATATTCAGGCTCTTTTCTGGTTCTCAGCAAAGCATAGAATTGTTTTTTTCTGAATCTGTGAAATATGACATTGGTATTTTGATGGAGATTGCATTGAATCTGTAAATCATTCTAGGTAGTATGAATATTTTAACAATGTTGATTCTACTGATCCATGAGCATGGTAGGTTTTTCCACTTGTTTGTGTTGCCTGTGATTTCTTTTTATAGGGCCTAACATAGGGATTGTCTTTCAGGTTTGATTCAAATCATAAGAAGAGTAAATTAACCATAGTGTAATCACCAGTATAACTCACAGCAGGAGAGGAGTATGTGGGTGTGTCACTCATAGCAAGTTGGTGATGTTAGATTATAACCTGCTAAACAAGAACACAAACAATAAAAGCTAATGCAACATTCTGATGACAATTCCATATTATCATGATGATAATTCTACATCACTGGGTATTTTTTTAAGTTGTTGAGCAATAAGAGAAAGATAAATAACTCCCCCACCAAGTTGTCCTGAAATACAATTAGAAATATCATAAATAGCCAAGAAATATCATGGTAGAAATGAACTAAACTAAAATGTAAATTTCATCATGGATGCTCACAATGCAATTGTATGAATGATTAATTGCAAGTTTGAGACTATAGTTAGATACCATTAAAATGTATCAAAATCAAATTAGGTAAAGTCACCTTAAAGAAAAGGATATCTTCAAAGTCTGAGGAATTAATCCAGATCTGATTGAAAATATACAAATGTGAAACTTACATGAGGGTGTCATATAAATTCTGAGGCCAATATTGGCAGTGTCCTGCCAACGGGAGAGGGAGAATTAGTTCTGGGACTGTGAGTTTTCAAGTTCCACTGATGAGACCTCTTGTGAAATGAATGTCTCAAATGCCATCCAACATTTAGTTCCTTTAACTTCCTGTACTGATTCCTTGCTCATGTGGTGGTTAAGAAGTTCCTGTTCATTAATTCTCCTATAAGTTAATAAATAGGCACCCTTGCTTTACCGGCTTGGCTAACTTGAGTCTGCTCCAAGAGGTGGCTTCACCCTTGGAATGTAAACAATATCATATCTCTGAGTCTACAAGGCTAAAGGCCAGACCCTGATAAATTTATCACGGTTGTGAATTCTACCATAAATGCTTTTTGGAAGACAGACTTTTTTTTTCTCTCCAAGTGAATGCCGATTATGATAGTGTGTATGTTTTCTTTAAAGCATTATGTATTTGAATGCTCAGGGACTTCAGAGAATGATAGGAACCTGTCTGCAATTAATCAATCAAATAATGATGGGGCAAGACAGAGAGTGTTTAGGAGAACTCAAAGCATCTCAGGCATGGAAGGAATCCTGATAAACTCTTGCCAAGTGTTATCAGATCCAATGCTTGAATGTCTAGTAATTGAAAATTACTGTTCCATTCTTGGGAAGCTCTTTTAAAGAGCTTTTAGAGAGTTTCCAACATGTCTTCTCACTCCAGGCCCCCTGAACTTTATGGAGCTGTGTGGAAGTATGGAGTGATTTGCTCTCATATGCAAGGCTTCATAGACACAAGTTCTCTCCCTAGACAGGGAGCACAGGGCACACAGTGGCTGTAATGCAAACAGCCTGATGTTTGAAGCCAGGTAAACCATGGGTTAGCTGTGTGACTTTGAGCAAGTTACTTCATCTCCCTTAGCTTCTGTTTTCTCATCTGTATAATGGGAATAATAAAAACCTTGCTGGATTACGAATTAGAAATGATGACAAAATATCTAGGCTAATATCTGTAGACACTCAGTAAATTATAGTCCCTCAGCTCATCCCTCTCCCCATCCTCGATCAGGAGAGCAAGCACTTAGCAAGTCAGACAGCGTGAAAGCCTCTTCAGAGAATCCCTTTCCTCTGTTAGGTTTTTCTAAAATCTAACCACAAGGAGATGGTTCTGGCTACAAAATATTCTTTTCCTCCCACAGCCAATATTAGGTCTTTTCCTAGCAAAACTCTTGGTATCTTCTGTATTGTTCAGTTCTTAAGAAACTCTGGCTCCCACTTTGGGGAGCTAAATTCATATCAGTTATATCCACCATGGCTTCTAAGAGTGCCTAATTTCTTTTCTTTTGCTGAGTAGTACTCCATGGTACGTATATCCCACATTTTATTAATCCACTCATGCATCGATAGTCTTTTCTTTTCTTTCTGAAACCCTTATGTTTTATGCTAACACTTTGGTGTTGGATCTCCTCAGCTTCAACTTTGCTTTGCAACATCCAGAGACTGGTTGGATCAAAGGGTTCCACACTCACTGCTCAGTTACTTCATCTCCTAGGATTCTGCTAAGTATGTACTATCCTTATAATATGCTGTGATTGGGAAGCTAAGTCGATTCAGAGTTTGGAGGCACAGAAAATGTGTCTTGTGTGCATTGAAGGGTGTTTCTTAGTCTTTTTTTCCCAGTTATTCTGCATTTTTTAGGTAGAAAAGTGGCCTACATGTGCAAGGCATTATTATTTTCATTGTTAGATAAGTGACTTAAATTGTACACCTTCCTAAAACTCAGTTACCAGAGTTATTTCTACTTGCATTAAAATCTAAATGATAATGCCCTGGAGCAGGAGTCAGACCATCTGGAGACTGACCCCAATTCTATCAATGACTAGCTGTATGACATAAAGCAAGTGACTCTTCCCATTTGTAATGCAGAAATGATCATCTTGGCTTTGCCCACCTTGAGAGCTTACTCTGAGATTAGAAGAGATATTATGAAATGCAATACACATGCAAGACCTTTTACAGGAATAGCTGTGTAAAACAAACCCCCACTATATGGTCCATGATAGTAAAGACTTTAGGAAGATAATTCTAAGTGCTCACGAAAGTGAGATGCAGGACACAGGAATCATGAGGACATTGATGTAAGATGGTTATATTGATCATTTGCAGTGATGCTGATCAATTGCAGAGGCTTAAGAGAACAGTCCTAAAAATTTGGTTTTTTTTAGGGTTCTTAGAGGGAAAACGGGATTTCGAAGGCCGAGATCTTGACTTCATGTCAAGGACAGATGAAGCCAACCAGCAGCTGGAAAACTCATCTGCAGGAAATAAGGAAGAGAAAACTCAAAGTGAAGCGGGCTCCACTCACCAAGCAGCCTCACAGTTTGACAGAACATTTGGCGACATCGTGTTGGTTGTCAGCAAAGCCAGGGGAGTGAGTTTATTGTCAAGTTTGATTGACAGAAGCTTAATCAGTCATTTAGGAGAAAATGCTAATTTGTTTCCCAAAGTGGCTGTACAGATGTATACCACCCTCCACCCTCCTCCAATGTACAAGAGAGTCTGTGGATCCTCACCCTCCCTAACTCTTGGCATTGGCAGACCTTTAAATTGTTCCCCAATACAAAGGTGTGAATTGGAATCTTGCTGAGGTTTTGATTTCTGTTTTGTTGGTTACTTAAGGTGTTGAGTAGCTGTTCACATTTTTATTGGCTGTATGTGTTTCCTCTGATGTGAAATTCCTATCCACATTTTTTACCTGAAATCGAGGGGTTAATCTGACTAGGTCAGCCAAACTTGGCCTGCCCTGCTTGCTTTTTGTTATTTTTCTTCCCCGTGAAGCTGAAGGACGTGCTGCTGAACACTGTAACTTAATATTCACCGGCTTCCTTATAGACAACACTTGTATGTCATCATGGTAACGGTCACCTAAGTTGTTTTCAGGAACTTGGGGCAGTTCCTGTCCAGCTCAAGCCAGTAGACCCTTCAACTGGGACTGTGCAAATGCCTGAGAGGTGCCCTTTTGACCTCATAAGGCCCAAAACTCCACCCTCAGGTCAGGCTAAGGCCCGCGTTTACTGAGCACGTGTCCCGTGAAATGCCGTGAGCCCAGACTACGCTTGCGCAGAATGAACCCCTTGCTTCCGCGTTCCCCACTGCCAATCACCGCTCCCCAGCCTTAGAGCTCCGCTTCCCTCATCCGTGAATATCCTAAGCTTTCCCTCCTGGGAGGTGGATTCGAGAGTTGTTCTCTCACCTCCTCATTGGGCTGCCTTGTGAATAAATCTTTTCTATTTTGCAAAACACAGTTACAGTCTCGATTTACCACGCGGGGCAGAGCAAAGGTGGCTAGCGTCATACCCAGTTTTCTATGATTTGTGGGGGTCATTTACACGTTCTTGAGACTAACCCTTTGACCCTATGTGTACCGTGAATACTTCTCCCAGTCAACAGCACGTGGAGCAAAAGAATTGGGCTCAGTGAGCCATTGCAATCACAGAAAGTAGTAAATTATTATTTATTAATTGTTTGTAACACAGTAAGAGATAATTGAAATAATCTTTTCTTATTTTGAAAATCTGTTTTAGCCATATTTTATGTCCACCCTTTTAAGTAATATTATTTATTTCTGTCTTACATTTTCTGTTTTATTAATTTTCCACTCTTACCTTTAGTATTTGTTTTCTATGTAGTCTGGGGGCAATGCTATTGCTTTTATCTTAGTTTCTTAAGATGGGACACTTAGTTCATTAATTTTGAGGTTTTTCCTCTCTTTCAATATAAAGATTTAAAGTTATAAATTATCCTCAGAACAGTGCTATCGTTGCATGCCCTGAGTTTTGATATGCCGTGTTTTATCATTTATTTTTTTCTTTCTTATTTTA